CTTAAGCAATCTGCGATATCGCTTAAGCGATCGTGTGATTTGCAGAAGCAAATCTGCCCAGGTGCATGATCGCTTAAGCGATCTGTGATATCGCTTAAGCGATTCTTGTCTTTTTCACTTGGTCGATTAAGCGATCTTTGATATCGCTTAAGCGATCATGTGATTGCCAGAAGCAAATCTGCCCAGGTGCGTGTCGCTTAAGCGATCCGTGATATTGCTTAAGCGATTCTTGTCTTTTTCACTTGGTCAATTAAGCGATCGTGGATCGCTTAAGCGATCATTTGATGGGCAGAATCAATCTGTCCAGGTGCACGATCGCTTAAGCGATCCATGATATCGCTTAAGCGATTCGGTTTTAAAAATCCTTTGTTACTTAAGCGATACACTTAGTCGCTTAAGTGATCATGGGCAATATATACTTTTCCAGCTTTTCTTATGAATTTTGACAAACTAAAATTACCAACACGTATTAATTTCATACTTTCTCCTCAATTTGACAACCTAATCCCAAACTAAAATTACCAACAAATATTTAGACCATGTAATAAGAATACTAAATATAAAGAATGATTTATTAAAGGTAACAATAAAATTTAAAACATCAATAATTGAAAACAATAACTCATCAACGGTTGGCCTTCGCAACTCCCTGAATTTCATCCTTCTTCGAACCTAATTATCTGGATCTGCATGTGATTACTTCTGGCAATTGCTTCTCTTGTGGCCAGGTTGCTTGCAAATTGAGCACTTATTCATCTTCCAGGGAACCTCAAAGGCTGATGGAATACGCTTAACTCTTTTTCTCCCCTCTGCTATCTTCTTGAATGGCGGCTGAATGATAATGTCAGCCATCTCTGGCGGCACTAGCCACTGCTCTTCTAGAGGCACCGGATATATCGTTTCTGAATAAGCTAGCATGTAGTGATCTGTCATATAGAGAGGGGAGCAAAGTTCCATGTAAATTCTCGAACCAAAATCCGGCTTCCGTTGGTGTTTCAGTGCTGCTAGTACATGAGGACAAGGTAAACGTTGAATGTCAAACACTTTATAGCTGCAAGTTTTTCTAACAAGGTTAACTAGGGCATTCGGATCATAGCCATGCACAGTGAACTCTTGAGCATTAAAAGGATAGGCAAACAGTGCATTTGACAATTCCATACGTTCTCGCAATAATTTTTCAGCTGACAGAACAAGGGTTGTAGTAAAATTATCTGACTCCGTACAACGCTCATGGAACCACCGTAACAATGTCCTCTGGATTGCATCAAAAAGTGCAACTATTGGAAACTCTCTTTCTATTAACAACTTCGAATTTATGGACTCAGCTATGTTCGTGGTCATGACATCAAACCTTCTTCCAGGAAAGTAAGCTCTACTCCATCGCTCGAAACCAACATCATGCTCAAGATACTTAGCAACTCTAACATCCTTGATTCGGATTTGCTGGAAATGCTACTCGAACTCATCAACCTAATAAGCTTTTGCTACCATGTAGTATGTCTGAAGGAGGCCAGTACACTTAAACTTTTGTTTTATGTTCTCACCAAGGTGCCTCATACAGAATCCATGATGTGCTTGACGGTAAATAGTGGCAATCCCCTTCTTTATAGAGTTGTGCCTATCGGATATTATGCACAACTCGTCACTGTCAGGCACTATCGTACGTAACTGCTGAAAAAACCAAGTCCACGACTCCTCATTCTCAAAGTCAACCACACACTATGTAACAGGATATGTGTGATTCTCGCTATCTTGTGCAATGGCCACCAACAATGTACCTCCATACTTTCCTATCAGAAAGCAACCATCAACAGCCAACACATTTCTCATGTTTACAAAACCCCTTATAACAGAACCGTAAACAACAAAAAAAATATTTAAACAGCATATTCCTGTCCCACTTCAAAGCCGTCTTACTACCTTGGTTTGTCAACTCAAGCATATAACGGTACGCTTATAATACTGTGTACCCGTGCTCCAGTGTGCCCCTCACAAAATCTTGTGCATGTTGTCTCCCTTTCCAACATTTCCAGTAACTAACAGCACATCCCAACTCTGTGCACACAAGTCTCTGAATGTCTTTAGGAGATGGACCTTTCCCTTCAACGAACCGACTTTTGACAAATTGTCCAATAACATCAATGGACGCTTGTCGATGCTCACCTGAAATATGCCCCAAACCACATGTGTGCTCACGGGTATATGTGCTAAGAAGAAATTTTTCCAACTCCACCAACCTTTTACAATAAACCCACCACTTGCACTTTCGGTCACGACATGCAACCGTTATAGCCAATGAATTTGACTTTTTGGTGATGAACTCAAAATTACCTTTCACGACAACAAGTTTTAGCTTCCTCACCACTTCCTGTTTGTTGTCAAATAAATACCTTATGCGCAACTCCAATCCATCCGTAAAAACATGAGCTGATTCATTACTACCTCCAATTGCCCCCTCTGAACCTGCATAAATGACCATAGTGTTCTCTTCCTCACAATATACGCCGTCTGTATAATCTGTATTTAAAGGAATCTCTACATCTATGGGAACATGTAAGGGGTCCTCCTCCTCAACATTTTCATTCTGTCCCCCATCCCCAACCTCTTCTACAGTGTCCTCCTCACTACCCCATTCACTGTCTACTCTTGATTTTTCAACTAACAAATCAATGGCCTCGTAGTTCAAATTAAAACCAGGCAAATCTCTGTCTATTTCCTCGTTATCCCCTTTCTCTGAACCAACTTCCAACGGTTTTTTTACAAAAGAAACCCTTAAAATCGGCCTCGAATCATTATTGGCTATATCAATCATATATAACTTCACACTTTCGTCCAACTTTAATATAGCAGGAGGTACCTTATAATGTTCAGGAACTTTGCTTAAAACATACTTCACAACTATATCACTACGCGAGCAACTCAAATTACCTCTTCTAATTATTTCATCAAACAACTCATCAAAACTAACCTCTGTGCTCACAGCAATTGGTATAACTTCTTTGCTCTTCCCAATCCACTTCTAGCTACTTTCTTCCTCCACCCACTCACCAAAATATTCAACACCCAAAACAACTTGTCCCATGGTGATAATAGAGCCAACTACCTGTAATGCAAGAAAAAAATTCTTAAATGCTTTCTAAGGGTTCAAATATTTTAAAAAAGAATCTGCACAGTTGCTTTATGGTTTGCTGTATTGCTTAGCGATCTTATTTCATTTACTGATCGCTTAAGCGATCTGCTCCCATACACCACTTTTACCAGATCGCTTAAGCGATCTATGCCACATACCTGATCGCTTAAACGATCTATCTGCTGCATTACCAGACCTACCAGATTGCTTAAGCGATACACCAGATCGCTAAGTGATCCATCGTACCAGAACACATTTTCATCATTCCACCTACAATCGATCCATTATACCCATAACAAATTTTCAACAAATTTCACTCCTTTTAACTTGTATTACGTCAAACACAACCCACACCTAAACAACTAAATCAAAATCATAACCCAAACGCCATCCATTATTAAATCTTTGTAAATCTAAATATAAATGTAAAGAAGTACACATACTTACACGAAATGTCAGGAGGAGGAGGAGGGGGATCTTTGGCGGAGAAGATGTTAATGGCGGAGGAAGAAGAAATTTAATGGCGGAGGAGAAGAAGTGTTATGGCGGAGGACAGAAGATAGAGATGAGGAAGAAAGAATGTAGAGGAAGAAAAAAAGAAGATGTAGACGAAGCTAAGAAGAAAACACACAAGGTGGAGATGTGTTAATGGCGGGAGAAGAAGAAGTGTTTGGGTTTGTTTGCAAGAATTTTGGTTTTGTGGAATATAGTATAATTTTTAAAAGATTACATAATACTTCTTTAATCCTAATTAAGACTAACAAGTTTAATTATCCTTAATCAATAATATGGCTATTTAGTTAACTTTAAACTTGATAGCCTTTTAATTAAATCAACTTGAGAGGTTGTTTTAATAAACGCCCCCATAAAATAGATGAACTAAAGGAAAGAAGACTTTTAATTCGGGGGAAAACTATTGAAATATTATCTTATATAACCAACTTTATTAATTTTAATTCTCAAAATGTCATGTTTTTATTTAAAAAATTCTTAGAGAATATATATTATGTCATTGAAAATTTTACATATCCGGTTATTATAACACTAATAAATAAGAGGAATGCTAAACTCATATCCTTCATTATATACTATATATATATATATATATATATATATATATACTATGATTGGGTGTCCAAACCAATTTGTCCGCACTTCAATTATTTTTCGGAATCCTGAAATTGCCAACCAGGTTAAAACTTTAGTGACCACACACACACACACATGTTATGTTATCGAGATGTCCAAGCTAGTTTGTCTGCATCTCAACTAATCCATCGGAATCTTGAAACTATCAACCAAGTTAAAACTTCAGTGACCACCCGTATTAGAATATCTTAAAATATTTCTTGTTCTTGTAAACTTGTCTAAGTTCTTTAAGTCAAATAATTACATTATAAGTATGATCAACACATCATATAGTATTTGCATATCTATTTATTTGTATTTGTATTTGAGTTTAGTGGAGCTTCCGTCATAAGGAATTAAAACTTAATAAATTGTGGAGTTGTTAGTTGATAAATTCAACAAGGTAAAGATTGGGCAAAGGAAAATAATAACCCACCACACCAGCTGCCAATCCTTTTCCTGTGCACTGGTGGAGTAAAGCTTCTACATATTGACATTTCAAACGCACAAAAGACAGGTATGCTCCCCACACTTGAAAGTGTTGTCATTTCAATTGCAATTTCTTTTCTTTATGCTTGATTCCCACTTGTTTGGAACATCTTCAAACCACGAAAAAGTTAATTTACTTGAAAGATCTCAACTGGCCAATAATCAACTTTCAATTTCAACTCAGTAAAAGTGATTGTAGATGGTTGAAGAGAGCAAATCTCTGTAATATATATGAAGTATACGAAGCAAAAAAAGATTACAAAACTTGATTGTAAGATTTCTGGAATTCAATATTCTCAATTTTGAACAAGACAAAATCAATAATTAAACAAATAAAACAACTAAACAAGGGGCAATGGGGGGTTAGATCTTCACTTGGAAAAATCTATTGCAGCTTGTTTCTCCATCTGTGCATCGTCTTCATCTACCAATCAACAGTGACAATATCTACACAAACTGTCCACCATCTGTATACCTTCCATGTATACTTTCAAATACTATCAATAAACTTATTCTAAATGTTAGCACTTCAAACCTTGACAAGTTTACTTATTTATTCAGGAAACCGGATTAAATAGATCCTCTTCTGCTTCATCCGCATTTAGGGAATAGATGTCAACAGGTGCACTAATGCAGCCGATAGCATTGGGCTTAAATCTGCCACCACCTAACGAGTTTTTGTGATGATCGAGATAAATTACAACCACAGTGATATCGTCATGAAAATGACGCCTTATTCCCTTTTCAATATTCTTTATGTCATCGTATCTCATCTCTCTTTTCTTTGCAGCTTCGTGAAGGGCAGCTCTAACCAATCTCTTAGCAATTCCCTGAAAGAACAAACAAAACAGAAAAACCATTATGAAAATTCTATCTATTTGTTTGCTTTCAGACAAATTTCTAACAAGGTCTATCTGCTGAACCATTTCAGTTCAATCAAGCCCACGGCAAAGATAGATTGAGACTAATTGTCTAAGATGAAATAATAGACAAGGAATCAAAAAGTATAAAGAACAAAAACAGTAAGAAAAAAGCAATAAAATATCAAAAAATCGAAGGTGAGCACTCACATTTCTTGGGTTTTTGAAAACAATCTCCACTGCTGCTTCATCACTTAACTGCTCCCAAAGGCCATCTGATGCAAATATCAGAAATAAGTCTTGTGGCCTAAGCTTTCTACTAAGAACTGAGGGTTCAGCTGTCATTGCAGGTCGTTTCAGAGGAATAGGGTTTCCAAATTGCTGAAAAATTGGGTCTCTGTAAAACTCAGGTTTCTTCAAGTAGACGTCACCGATTGATCTGGAAACCTATAAGTTAAAAAAAAAAATAAATAAATAAAAAATGTTAAGTAAGCTACTTTCATCTCATAATTTCAGATTTTGAATCAAGGGCAAGCCCACTGGAGGATAAGTAACCACCATACAAAGAATAACGCTCAGTTAAATTTCTACAGTTCCAGGAGCCGCAAACTTAAATGGAGCATATCAGAAAAGGAAAAACAAAAAGAATCCCAGTAGTTACATACGCTTCCGCATTATGCTTGAGGGATCTCCATGTATATCTCAAGCATATAGTACATAGTACTTTCACTTAGCTGCCTGAGATGGTAGAAGACCAGAGCATAAGATTCCTGGTGACCATGGAAGATATAACCCCTTTCTCTAACAACTTTGACCCCAGCACATCACAATATATACAGAAACCTTTACAAAAAGCAAAAGGAAGCCAAAAAGAAGTAATAGGTATTTCATATATGAAAGCAGTTGTCTTGTCAATGGCATCCAAGAAGGAGCATGCCACTAACATTAAACCACGTATTAATCTTCCATAATTATGCATAATATGCAGACTGATCTTTTTTGTCAGAGTAAGACTCTGTTCGAGCAATTTTTCTTTTAACATTTTTACTTTTGGAGATAGAAATTCCTATTCAATTCACCAGATTAAACAGAGGAAACAACAGCATGTCCTATTTATCAAAAAACAAAAGATGCAAGTGTGCAACTTCCCTTAACTATTTCTCACAATAGAAAACAAATTTTTCACGATTAACTTGGCAATCTTTTAACCAAAACTGCAAGAAATTTGAATTCAATGCAGGTGGTGTTAAGACAAAAACTAGTAAATGATGGATATAATAACAACATCATAATGTCATTAGATAGAGTTTTTCTAGTGGAAAAGTACTTTGATACCTTTAATCAAAACACTCCGTCATAATGTCATTAGATAGAGTTTTTCTAGTGGAAAAGTACTTTGATACCTTTAATCAAAACACTCCATCGAATAAATATTTCAGAATATTGAAATATCAAAAGTAAGGAGTATTATTAAATGCAAATTATCATAGAGAACCCTGCCAGAAAAAAAATTAAATAAAAAAAATCAAGGGAAAATAAAAACAGATTGATTCTGAAACCGCCGAAAACCATATACTTACAGTTCCTAGTACAAATAATTCTTACCTAACAAAACTTTTTCACTCAGACCTCAGCAACCAACATATAAGATAAGCAAACAAACTGAGAACAAGAAGTTCATTATACCTGAATTATTCCCTTTATCCTCCAAACTCCACGAGTATAAACCACAATATGTGAATCGTCAGGGTGAAGAGCCTCAACTTCCTTTCTCACCTCCTCCACTGCAACATTATGATCAGTTGACAACCGTTCAGCTGCCACCTTCACCTTGTGTTTGCTGTCAACTGAAACTCTCCGACCAAGAACTGCTCTAGAATCACCAAGATTTGCCACATACAATACATCATTTGAAATTGCTCCCAGCAGACAACAAGATCCAACTGAAGCAATTTGTGGCCTTACAGGCAATACACGCTTAACTAAACGCAAAAATTCCTCTTCAGTAGCGTGAAATGCCTTCTTTATCACTTCTGCTGACAATCCTCCTTGTTCCATTGCAAATTCTGCATTTGAAGCATAAAAATTTAGTATGAGAAGATAGTCTGTTACTTCAGAGCAATAACATCATTAAATTTTTTTTCTCCAGAAAAAATGACACTATTTGTAATTTATGATTTAAAAACAAAAACAACAACAACAACCCGATGGTGCCAAAGTGTAGATTCTTTCATTTCTTAATAAATTTTCTCAGTTCTGCTGCATGCAAAAACTAATTCTATTTGTTTCCATAAATTCAATAAACAAAAATAAAAAGGAATCCCTAACTTAATTAAGCAAACACTTGTATTATATTGAGTTAAATAAAGCCTAATCTTTTCTGGGATCAACAAAAGCATTCACAAATCCTTCCCCAAATCTTCTAAAATTCAAACCAAGTTAGTAAAACAAACAAAGAGAGAAAACTAAAAATCCAATTCTCCAGTAACTTTCTGCCACCGGTTGATCAGAAATTAGAATTCAACTGTAACGTCCCCTTTTACCAACAAATAAATTTAAAAAAAAAAAAAAAAAAACACCCCTATACAAAGTGCAAAGCAACCAACACATAATACAAAATTCAAAGAGAAAGATGAAATTTTGAAATCAGCCCGTCATTCAACACATCAGATATTCACAAAAAGCACACACAAACACATCAAAATACACACACATGCACTACCAAATCAAAGGAAAAACTCAAAAAGTGTCCAATAAAACTCACTATGCAAAAAAGGAAAAAGATGCTTATTAACAAATCTAGAAGCCTCAGGACCACCATGTCCATCATAAACACCAATATAAGTGGCAGAAGGAGACGTGAACACTTGGCTCTGGTCTTCAAGATTAGAGTTTGCCTGAACCACCGCGATCGAGTAATCCCCAGACGCGTGCGGCTTCAAGTCCGAGTGCCACAACAACCCATCACTACCACCACCACGCCTCCCTAAACACCTGTAGCACGACCGTAACATCATCATACTCCTCGTCGGAGGAACGTGTTCTGTATTTATTATGATTCGTAAAAGAGTAAAGTAGTTTATGAGCTGTTTTGTGTGTAATGAAAAAAATGGAAAAAAAGGGTAGTTGGTGTTTAAGGATATAGAGAGAGAGAGATGGGGAGGGGGAGAGATTAGAGGGAAGTCTTTATGAAAAAGAGATGCCGCGTGATGCGGAAGAAGAAGACTACTGGTGATGATGTAAATTGCTATTGCTTGTATTTTGTTTTTGTTTTCTGTTTTATTACTGTGTACACTACGCGTTGATTTTTATTAAAGTTGGTATCATTTCTTTTTCTTTTTTATTTTATTTTATTTTATTCTTCTTTTTCTTTTAATGCTTCTTTCTAAAGACTTGACCGACTTATGATTTTCTTTTTTTCTTTTTTGTTTATTGACTCGCGATAGTAAAGTTTTTATTTACTTTTTTTTCCCCCTCTTTTAAGTGGTACGTAACATTAGATTCTTCTTGCTTTTTTTCTTCTTTTAAAAAATTAAAAAAATAAAGTATATGAAATTAGTAGTATTTAAGAGAGTTATCATATTATTATTCTTGTTATTGAGTAAAAATTAGATTTTGTAAAATTTTCGGAAGCAGTAAAGTTAAGGACACTTGGTTAACAAGCATTCTAAGGTTCCTTTTTTTAATGTTCTTATGCCTAAAAAATATAAGGGCTGACGTCAGGTCCAATCAGCCTACAAGAGTCAGATCATGGGTACAATCACAGCCTACTTCCGTCAGAATAGTGGGTGTGCGTCAGGCCAGCCAGAAGCTGTGGTGATCCCACGTGTCCAATCTTTGCTCTAAATCGCGCAAATCACTCTGGAAGGTGGGCAATGTGACATAAAGAAGGATTTGCACGGGTAATCCCACAAACTTACAGATTTAGTGATCATTGAATCAATGCATCCCACTATAAATTGGGAGCTCCTCTCTCATTAAAGGGGATTCGCACATTTTTACACTTGATTGACTACTCTCTCTCTCTCCCTAGAATTCTTAGCATTTGATACCTTGTAATATCATTACAAAGTTAGTCAGCTAAAAGCAACCTGACCCTTATCATCAATATAAGCATCAGTGGATGTAGGACTTGCTATCTTAGCATCCGAACCACTTTAAAAACTGTCCTCATTGCATTTACTATCATTTTCCTTTACATTCACGTGTGTCCTTTGGGCCAGCTCAACATTTCACACGTACGTTTCGTTGGTGTAAAAATCACGCATCAACAGTTTGGCGCTAGAAGGAGGGCTGATTTAGTGTTCATCCTTCATCAGGAGAATCTCCAACTTACCGGTCCTACAACAACAAATGACCCACCAACCAGAACCTGAGCAAACCAACCTGAGGGGCTCCCCCAAGTTCAGGGGGACACTTCTTCCAAAAAACCTTCAGCCCCGCAAAATGTTGTAGGAGATATCATGTCAAGTTCACAGCTTGACCCCGATATAAGAAGCTACCTGGAGAGGTTTGATAATACTCTCCAGACGGGCAATCGAAGGTTGGACTGTTTGGACCAAGGCGTGCCATCCAAGTCAACTGCGACGGTGCAACCGCCAAAAAGGCCTGCAGGTCGCGAGCAAGCGCGGCAAAGGGAAATAGCCCGTGCCGCGAGCAATGTAGCGCGTAGACGAAAGTGTAAGCAAGTGACAAAAAACAAGCCCATGGGCTCCAAAGGGCCAGTAAACACCGACCGCATCCCAAATAGAATACCAGTCTCATTGAGACTCGGTGAAAAGACGCAGCCTGAGCTGTCCCATGCCACGTCACAAGTACACACCCATAAAAGTGTTGGACGGGGTGATTCTTATCACCGCCAGCAAAACAATCCTGATCATCACTGTACGAGAGGGTCCCACACTTCGCGGGGCGATTCTTACACCCGCGAAGGTCGTGAAATACGCCACACCTTTCATCGCCATCACATGCCTCTAGCCAGCGTGTGTCGAGAGTGGCTGGAACCGCCGGTCGAGGCGAAGAGGAACTTGACCTCTAGACATTCCTCAATCGTAACCGCGAAAATCGAACTCGCATTGGTGAAAGCAACCCCCAAGCAGCTCCATTACTGCAAATTGAGGAGCTGCAGCGAGCTCTAGACAAACTAAGGGCTCAACAAAATGAGCAGGGGCAGGTCGCATTTGCGTCCCCCTTCTCTCCCGAATTGTTAGCCGCTCCACTCCCACCAGGATTCAGGATGCCCGACATGCAGGCGTTTGATGGAAATTCCGATCTGCAGGATCATTTATATGAATTTAACGACCTGATGGAGCTTCACCAGTTCTCAGATTTAGCAAAATACCGCTGTTTGGCAGTGACGTTGACATCCCATGCCAAACGGTGGTTCAGGTTGCTCCCAGCGGGATCAATCAGTTCGTGGCCTCAGATGAGCGTGACGTTCCTGAGGCATTTTCAAGCGAATCGAAAGTTTTCGATGCCTTTGAGCTACCTCAGCAATAGAAGGCAAGAAAGGGATGAATACCTCCAGTCCTACATTGACCGTTTCCACAGAGAACTCAACAAGGTGGCTCATACTCCCGAAGAGTCTGTTCGGACTCTTATCATAGCCGAAGTTCGTCCACAAACCGACCTATGGAAAGAATTACAGGCCAAGGACTATGTTTCCCTCACAGGATTCTATAACATTGCGAAGAAGTACCTCCGGATAGAAAATTCATTGGTGGCACTCCGCTGTCGTGACCCGGTGCTTCAAGCAGTACGTCTGGTCGGGGTGAAAGTAGAAGAGCTTATCGCAGAGGGGACGCTGACGATCAGCGAAAAGGGAAAGTCTTATGCTCCTATTCCTCGTCGCGATCGCGACAGAAACCAATATACTCTACTAAATGCGTTTGTATCAGCCATTCTTGATAAATCCGAGGAAGCCAGTCTACTCGGGGAGCCCGAGCCCATGAAAACTCCTGCGACAGCCAGAAATAATAAAAAATACTGTCGCTTCCATTAGGACAACGGACATCACACTGATGAGTGCCGAGCTCTAAAACAAGCAATCGAAGAGCTCATCAAGAAAAGGCACTTCAAGGAGTATATTGACGACTCCGCTCCTGCATAAGAGAAGAGCCAAGGGGAGCAAGGGAAAAAGCGTTATGATCACAAAGGGTATAGTAGTGTAAACATAATCTTTGGAGGGCCACACCTCTCGGGAAACACACGAGGTGCCCAAGAAAGATATGCTCGCAAAGCTCATCACGACCCAATCAGGGTGATAAACACATCGCAGCAACCACAAAAGGTTCGCAAGGAGGAGCTGATCACCTTCTACCAGAAGGAGGCAGCCCGTTTGCATCATCCTCACGATGACGCCCTTGTGATCATGCCCCTCATAGGGCACCATAATGTCCGCAGAATGCTAGTGGACAACGGAAGCGCTGTGAACATTCTGTTCTAGACCGCTTTCGAAAGAATGAACTTGGACGAGGCCGACCTAAAGCCTACCTTGATCCCTCTTTACGGCTTTACAGGGGACCACCTGATCCCGAAAGGAACGATCCAACTTCTGATCACGCTGGGTGACTATGACGAAGTGACTAAGGTTACTGAATTCTTGGTCGTGGATTGCCCATCTGCCTTCAATGAAATCTTGGGGCGACCTCTACTGAGAAACTTCAAGGCAGTCACTTCCATATACCATCTCAAGATGAAGTTCCCCACCCCGACGGGGATAGGGGAAGTAAGCGGATTGCAAAGCGCATCTCGCGACTGCTACATAAAAGCGGCGCAGATGGCGTGTAAAAGGAAGGGCATTTCGCGAGGTATTCCCCGACAGGCTATGGCGATTAGCCAGATCGAGCCACAGCTTGGCCCAGTAGAGGATAATATGGATCCTCGAATTCAAGAAAGCCCTTCCAGTGGCCCAGTTAGGGATTTGTCCGAAGTGTCGGTCGACCTGAAGGAGCCCAGCTGAGTGTTAAGGATTATGAGTAGTCTCATCCCCCAGTTCGCCTCCGAGCTGATCAGTTTCTTGAAAGAAAATATCGATGTGTTTGCCTGGTCACACGTAGATATGGTCGAGATCAGCCCGGACATCATTTGTCATGCATTAAACATCGACAGCGAAGCCAAGCTAGTTCGCCAGAAAAGAAGAGCAATGGATTCGGAGCGATATGCCGCCTTAAAATTAGAGGTGGACAACCTCCTCCGAAACGGGTCCATCCGAGAGGCACTCTACCCAACCTCGGTTGCTAACCCAATTCTGGTAAAGAAGCCCAATGGCAAGTGGCGAACCTGTGTCGACTTCAGCGACCTCAACAAGGCCTGTCCTAAAGACAGCTTCCCTCTGCCAAGAATTGACCAACTCGTGGAAGCCACCTCGAGGCACGGACTGCTAAGTTTTATGGACGCATACTCGGGATATAATCAAATTCTGATGTACGGGCCAGACGAAGAGCATACGTCTTTTATTACAGATCGGGGGCTGTATTGCTACAAAGTTATGCCCTTCGGCCTCAAAAATACTGGTCCGACCTACCAGCGATTGGTTAACCAGATGTTCTTCGACCAGATCGGAAAAACAATGGAGGTCTATATGGATGACATGCTGGTCAAATCCCATGTCGCTTCAGATCACATTGCGCATCTCGCTGAGATGTTTGATATCCTCCGACTGTACAGAATGAAACTGAATCCTCTCAAGTGTTTGTTCGGAGTATCGTCAGGAAAATTCCTAGGATACATGGTTAACCAGCAGGGGATAGAAATCAACCCCGAGAAAATTCAAGCTCTGCTCGATATGGAAAGTCCGATCAGAAAAAAATAGGTCATGAGTCTTAATGGGCGAATAGCGGCACTAAGTCGCTTCATATCGAGGCTAACGGATCGTTGCTTACCGTTCTTCAATGTTCTGAAGGCCAACAAGAAGTTCGAGTGGACTCTTGAGTGCGAACAGGTGTTCCAAAGTATAAAAGAACACCTCGGGAAACCACCTCTCCTGTCCAAGCCTTTTTCGCAAGACATCCTGCTCCTGTATCTGTCCGTCTCTCAGTTCGCAGTCAGTGCAGCCCTAATTCGGGAAGAGGAAAAGGTACAATGGCCAGTATACTATGCAAGCAAGCATTTGACAGATGCCGAGATGCGGTATCCAGAAATAGAGCGATTAGCCTATGCCCTGCTGATCGCTTCCAGAAAGCTACGACCTTACTTCCACGCCGATACTATCCATGTGA